TGGGGCCTTCGGCAGGGGCCTTAAGAACTGATAGATTCTTTGGGGCCCTTAAGGATTCTGTGCGTGAAATAAACATCGATGTACCTATAGTCTCCATTGTGGTTCCGTTTTTTGGTTTAAACAAATAATATGTATAAAGGATTTTATAAGGTATCCCCAAAAGGGAACTACAATGGAGACTACAGGTAGGGTTTATAAGGTTTAGGGTTTAGGGATCATGGATACGATGATGGCGCATCTAAAGCCGGAATCCAAAAGCGAACTTCCGAGTTGAGACGTGGCGATCCCAAAGAAACCCCAAATCTTAAACTCTCTAATCCTGAAAAGCGGAACCCCTATTAAACCCCATTGAAGCCAATAAGCCCGAAACCTTAAACCCAAACCCGAACTCTTAAACACCCGACGAACCATTTGACACATGACAGCAGCCGATCCTGGCATGGGTGCGCCGCTGGAGCCTGGCGACAACAAGCACACTCGGTTTAGTTGGTTTCGGGTTTGGGGTTCAGGGTTCCTTTACTTTTAAGGGTCCCTTTAAGGGTTTCTTTGAGGGATCTGTAGGGTTTTAGGGTCTAGGGCTTAACGGGCTTGGGGCACAGGGGTTTCAAGGGCTCCTCGAAATGGTTCTTTGTGGGTGTTCTGGGTACACCCTAAACCAAAAAACTCGAAACCAGGCCTGTCGGATGAACCTTCGGAAGGTTTAGGATATAGGGTTTTAGGGTTTAGGGTTTTAGGGTTTAGGGTTCAGAATTTTAGGGTAGTCTCTGCGGCCTCAGGGTTTGGGGTTGAGCGGGCTTCTTAATGTGCTGTTGCACTGTGACCATGTCCGCGCGGGCGCTTGTTGCGGCCGTCTTAACTCTCTATTCAAAACCGAACCCCCAGGTACCTACTATATAGGGTACTAGAGCCTAACCCCCAGGTACCTACTATATAGGGTACTAGAGACCCTAGGGCCCTACGTAGCAGGTACCTGGAGGGTGAGGGAAAACCATGCCGCTTTTTTGCAAGAGGCCTCGTTGTCCAGAGGCCCGGTCTAGCCAAGCCATGCGCTAAGCCCAACACCCTTGAGACCGAAAACCTTGTTGAACCCCAGTCGGCGTGATCTATATGATGGCCGAGTGTATGCAGTCCTTGACAGAATAAATATCTGCATAATGCAGATACTGCAACAGCATACTACTTCAAGCCTGACAGTATACCTGAATACCCAAAATCCGTCACACACGCTCTTCGAAAACTACTCGTTTGACACCCGACAAGAGCTTTAGCTTTCGCGAGAGTCGACCTTGAATTGACGGTTAGCTATTGGAGTTCCGGGCCAATCGTTACCCATAGGCTCCGCTGTAGTTCCTGTTTGTGGATTCTACTTATTTAGGACCCAGTGAGGTAACCCCAAAAGGTAAGTACAATGGATCCTACGGTCACCCAAAATCATCCCAAGCCCAAATCACCGTTTCGACCGCGGCAGGTCAAGCAGGGTTTGGAAACCGCGCGGCCTACAAAGGGTGGTCGATTCAGGGGCGGAACAACTGCGGAGTGAACGTTAGGGTTTACGGCGCAGGGTTCAGTGGCTTAAGGTGCAAGGTTCAGGCATAGAGCACGAAAGGTGTCAGAGTTTAGGGCTCAAGATTTTTGCGAGACACATCTACATCGATCTGTCTGCATACATGATTTCCAGAGTGCAGGTGTAGTGCTAGTTGAAATGCTAGAATGTTTCTATCCTGGCTGGGCCAGCCCCTAAACCTCTATGACACCCTGGCTTGACGTGACATCTTCCAGAACACCCCGCAATGAACGCTTACTATGACAAGGAGCCCTAGCAAAGGCAGATTTCTTTGGGTTTAATTAAGTTTCAGGTCCAGGGCTACGTTGCCTCCCGCCTAGCTCATTACTTTAGGGCTTTAGGGTTTAAGGGTTTCCTTAGGTTTCTACCAGCGAGTTCCAGAATGCTTGTCGCAGTCGTCGGGCTCATGCGTGAGCCATAAGCTGTAGGGCTGTAGGGATTCGATTCTAGTTGCGTGGTCAGGAACCGGAAACCCTTCCGTAACTTCCCCAGCTGCAAGAGGGCCCGTAGTCAAGACCTCACATACCTATTGTCTCCGTTGTAGTTCCTTTATCTGGTTTAACCAATTATATATTCAGGAGTCTATAAGGTATCCCCAAAACGGAACTACAATGGAGACTACAGCTAATTTGCAAAAACTTGTATAGAATTGACTCTGGGTCGCACGGGAGACTATACACACCCCAAGAAAGCCCGCCTCTGTCTTCGCTTCTTCGACGATGGGGTCTTTCTTGATGAATCCGATCCCACCATCCTCCTTGGAGATTACGGCCGCAAGTAAGTATGACCCTAAACCCTATAATCCCCAATCTCTAAAGCCGGTGACAGGTTGTAGAATCTTGGGGCATTGAACTTTGGGACATGCCGAATACTGTCTATATAAGGTCTTAGGGATTAGGGCCTCCATGTTAGTTCCACTGCGGTTACCTTGTAGGATCCTGACCATAGACTTGGCTGAACCACAACACGGAGCTAGAATGGAGACCCTGGGTGCCCTTCAAGTATTACAGGCACTAAACCCTAAACCCCCCTAAACCCCCTAAACCCCTTAAACCCCTAAACCCCTAAACCCTTAAACGCTGAACCCTAAACCCTAAACCCCTAAGCCCTTAAACCCCAAATACAGGTATCCCTAAACCCTAAACCCTAAACCCTAAAGTATGAGAAGCTTGGGGTGTCTGAGCGGTGCCCCAGTCGCTCAAGGACACGCCGTCTCAGTCTCAGGGTCTGATTATATGCACAACACATATATTTCATAATTCGTAACATAAACGTATATATATATATATACATCCACATAATATATATATATATATATATACATCCACATAATCTCTATCTATATATATATATATATACCTATATATATATATATATGTAGCCAGCACGTAAATAACTGATCCATAAGTGTGTGTATATATATATATATCTCTCTCTCTCTCTTGCAATCAGGATACAAACCTTCGATTACGTATTGCAAAATGAAAATACCCTACACCAGTGGTTCCGAGTTCTGGCTTCGGTTCCTCTTGAACCTTCGAAGAATGCTTCTTGATCCTTTGTGAGTCCCAGGCTCACAACAGCCCCATCGTATAAACATCGGAAGGTGCTTCCCGAACACTCCCAGACTCCCTGACAAATCACGGGCTTACGGCTTACCTAGAGTCTCCTTTGTAGTTCCTTTGTTTGGTCTAACCAATTATATTCTCAGCAGTTTTTAAGGCATCCCCAAAAAGGAACGACAATGGAGACTACACGTAGTGTTCAGAGCCATTAAGTCGTACCTACTTTCGCCACGATGGAGTCTGGCGCAAACCCGCAACCGAATAAACCCTAAACCCTCTCTCTCTCCCGCGGACTCAGAGGTCTGTCAGCCGCTAAACCGTAAACCCCTAAACCCTTAACCCCCCCCCAAGCCTGAAGTTGAATCAACCTCCCTCAGAATCTAACTGGGAGTTTCCGAAAGTAAGGGGGTACGATATTTGGGGGGTCCTTATAATAAGGATCCTACTATTCAGGGTACTACATTAGGGTCCACTATTTTCGGAAATCCACAACTAGTAACTAGATATACGAGATGTTAGATAAGATCCAAAACAATGCAATTACAACATCATGAACCGTGATGATCAGGCGCAGGTGCATATTTAGACGGGCACAGCCTCCTAGCCTCCTAGCCTAATCAGAAATGACAAGTCCCCAAGAACCGGCAACATCAAGATGTGACCTCAGAGTTAATTTTGTTGCTTAAAAAATACATTCATCAGGGCATGTATGCGTGTATATTGTTGTTAAATGTATGTATATATATATATAT